AAGACTGCACCACCCCCCCCCACCCCCGCCCCACCCCCAGCCATTTCCTTGCCTTCCTTCCCCCGCACTGCTCCAGTACCATGTAGCTCCCAGCTACATCATTGGACCACAGGAGCACAGGCCTGCACTGGTACCCCAGGGTGTATGTGTGTGTGTTTGTAGGGTGAGTCCCACATGCACACCCTACCATGCACATGCACTCACACCCCCTCTCACACTGCCATACGTGCAGACTCCCACACCCCACACATCCACACACATACCCATCTGCTCCCTCACCCCACATACCCACACATCCACAGGCCCCACAAACCTATATCCACTCATCCCACAATATATGAGTAAAAGAAACTTCAATTTAAGCTATTATATACAATCACTTCTATGTACACTACACAAACACATGTAAACCAGGACAAAAATATTTTTTGAAATCAAATTAATGAATGTTTTAGATGTTTGCTTTTTAGCATATAATTTGGTATTTTTCTGGTTCTGAGATGACAAACCCCTTGCTGAAAGGAGTATTTCCAGGGACAAGGGGGGAGACTTCTGGTGGCAAAGGTCAGAGGTTAGGGGGTGGGACTTCCAGTCACAAGATGGCAACCAGGGGGCGGGGCACCTGTCAAGGAGTGGGGCTACCCATGCGGCCCTTGACAGCTTGCCAAAACTCGGTAAGTGGCCTGCCATCTGAAATAATTGCCCGCCCCTGAATACACAGCACCATCAAAATGAAAAGACTTCAAAAAATTAGGTCAGTTTCACTGGAATCTTGTTTAGGACGAGAAAATAAAGAGAAAATGTTCTGACCATGTGAAAACTTTGTGTTTTGACATTTTAAAATGCAATGTTTGGATTTTTCATTTTTAAGTGACTTTTTATTTCATTTTTTAACTCCACATTATATTGGGTAGTATATAATACAACATAATAAAAAGGACAGCTTGAAATCATTTAGTTTTGTCCAACTGAAATATTTCAAATCAACTGAAATGACTTGCCCTTCAGAATTTTGTGTCAAAGAAAATTTCAAAATGTTAACATGCCACTTCTGAACCAGATCACACTTTAAAATCCTTTTTGTACCATAACTCCCACCCTTGGCAGGCTCTAGCCCTGAACCTGATTTGTTTGCAATATCAGGGTAACCACTGACATTTACAAGCTCAGGTTTCCATCTGTATAAAGGGAATAATAATACTTACTTGCTTCTGCACGACACTGTGAAGATTGTCTGTGCATCCCTGGTGGGTGCTAAGTGTTACAGAAAGACACTAATCTCATTTCAGTTGAGCTTGATGCTTAGCCTATCTTGAACCTAATTTTGATATCTGACTGCAACTTTGCCAAAACTCTCTTGAAACTTCACAGGTACTGTATAATCTATCTATTTACAATATGTTCTTATAATAGATCACTACAGAATCTTAGCACCTCTCCCAAGAGATAATTACCAAAATCAGAGCAGAGCCAGTGATCTGTATTTCCTCCCTACTTCCTCCAAGGCACTGTCAGGGCTATGCTATTCTCATTACTGTGTTCCCTTCTCTCTTCTCCTTCCCCTTTTAATCATCTTCTCTTACTACTCCTTCTCTTCTCCGCCTTCTGCTTCTGTACCTTTTTTCCTCCTCCCCTCGTCTTCATTGTCAGTTTTAATTGTTACTAAATGGAAGTGAATTTTGAACATTTGCAAGGCATGTGCAAAGTTATGCTAGGGCACAATTCTTTTGGGATGTCATAGGTCAGCTAGACAAGATGTTTGGGAACAAAGGCACCAAAAAGCACTGCTGGCACAGAGGTGCAGGACAGTATTCCAGCTTTCAATTTTAGGAATATGATAATACCAGCCTAAAATCTCCATAAAAATCCCATCAAGTTTACTGACCTTGGGTAAGTCATGTCCCTATCTCTCTCTACCTGTTTCTCCTTCACCACTTCATTTGCCTTGTTTAGACATCCTTAGGGGTGTCTATATACATGCTCTGGGGTGGGGAGGGGTGTTTTAATTAGAGCAGCTCCCGGAGAGCCGCTCTAATTAAAGCATAGCAGCATCACATGTATTCAGCGTCCTATGTTTCAAAAGGGCCATGGGGGTACTTTAACTAAAGCTTATTCAACAAATTTTAGTAAAAGCACCCCTGCTGCTATTTTGAAATGCAGGGTGCTGAATACATGTGACGCTGCAGCATACTGGAGCTTTCTAATTGGAACACACCAGCAGACTCAATTAACTGAGTCTAAGTAAAGTGTGTCAGAGCATGTGTATAGGCACCCTAAGTTGTTCTTTGAGGAACAGATACTCTTACCGTGTGTTTGTACTGTGCCTAGTCCAGTGTGGCCCCTGGGGCTTCTAGTTACATCAGCAGCAGCAGCAGCAGCAACATCTGGTTGTTTCAAAATTCTGGAAGACTTCTCTCATCTTTGCATTCACTACAGGTACCTCCTTTATCTGTGTGACAGCAGTAAAGATATGCCACATTCATCAGAGGTGGAAAAAACCCTTTTATTCAGAGGTTGAGGTAATAGGGGACCCCTTTTATAAGGAATAATCTTTCCTCTCTTTGCTTTCTACCCTCACCTGAGTACTTAGTGCCTTGCATTTCTAAACACTGTCCAAGTACAGCCTATCAGTATGTGCTCTGGGCTGTGTCATATAAATGATGTGGAGTGCTGTGAGCACAACACTGGATGCTTTCCTTTATCAGGAAGTACACAGAAGAAATTAAAATTAAAGGTGATCAAAGTAGGTCATCAAATGTTTCCTTTCCAGGTGCTTTGAGCCATTTGCACTGAGACCCTTTACACCTCTTTGCATATTTAAAAGAGGCACACATGGCCAGAGACCTTAGTGTAAGAAAGCATTGGTCTCTTTTGAGTTTGGACCCATAAAATGTAACCATGGGCATTTACATAAGTTACATTTTTCATGTACTGTGTCCCCTGGAAGCTCTCTACAGCCATAACATAACAAACGCTCACAGCTGCAGAGCACTTTTAAAATGGCTTATTGCACAATAATTTAGCTCTCATCTAATAAAGTATCAGACGGGGCGCTCTAAGGCAGAATGCCTTAGGGAACCTGTGTACAGGTTCCTTGAGAGGGTTAATTTTGGGTGTTTCCCAAGACCCCAGTGGGGGTAGCTGAGGGGACCATGTGCTGCAGGAGGGGCTCTGTCCCTCCTCCCTCCCCCTCCCATCCACTGCTGACAGTTGCCAGGTCAGGGGGTGGGGTGCAGACAGGGCTGGGAGATGCTGCTGGAGGAGATTGAAGGAGGCTGATGGAGCACTCCTGCCTGCCAGCCTGGGCCAGTGCAGGCAGGCTCCAAGCCTCCCCCCCAACCCAACAGGTGAACACCCATTGAATCTGTGTAAAGTGCCATGAGTTAGCGTGCCTCCTCACAGGCTGCCTGCACTTGGGTAAGCACCCCCTGATGCCAGGAACCAGCAACCTTTCGGAGTTGTGGGCTGGAACAACCCAGCTCAGGCCCGAGGTGGGCCATGTTCCAACTCGGCCACAGCTGCCACTTCTCTCCACCCTCTAGCTGTGGTCTGGGTGCAGCTCCCAGCCATCTGACCCTGGTGCAACTCCTCACTGCTCAGCCTTCATACAGGTGCAAGCTAAGAATCTCACCATCGACATGCTGCTGAAGCCCCTGTCCTGCAGGCCAAATCCAGTGGCTCTGCAGGCCATATGTCACCAACTCCTGCACTAAGATAAAGCTAGCTGCTAGAGGATTCACAGGCCTCTTGGAAGGAAGAAATGTTCAGAAACTATAGCTGCTCTGATACTAAAAGAAAACCAACAAAGATCAAGATCCTCAATATGCTTCTGCAGCAAAATACACTATTGTGTGGGTTCCTGCACATAATCCTGATCCCATGTATTTCTTTTGCAGAATAATGAAGCGCCTTCTATGCACACATCAGACACTATATATCATCATGATATATATGGCTTCTCTCTAGAAAAGGCCCATGGCCACCTGCCAGCATACCAGAGCCAACTGCATACCAGAGCCACCTGCCAGCAAACATCTTGAGACGCTTGGTCGTTCAATCTGCACTTCAGTCCGTGACAGAGGATGGTCCAGACTTCTTTGTGTCTCTGTACTGTGTAATGCCAACCTTGCTGTTGCCTGCAGGCCTATCAGATTCACTCCTGGTGTCCTTTTGACCTCTAGAAGCACCTTACAAAGGGTCAGGAGAATGGCTGGAGATTGATTTTTCATATCAGTGGGTGCATATACATGTGTGCTTTGCTGTAAAGTGGACTAATTAGCTCCTCAGTAAAGCGTAACAGTCTACATGTGCGCTGGTAGTAGGGTGCAGTAAACTTATTATCTCCACCATAAGATAGTACTGTTGGGGACAGTACTATCCTACAGAGGAGTAAATAACTGCACTGAAATGCATATGTAGATGCTGACTACATGTAGATGGTCCTGCCAGTTTTTTCACCGGCCAAAGCGGACAGGGCTGACCCTGGTGCTCATTGCCAGCCTGGACCTGCTCCACCCCAGCTCAAAGGGCTGATGTCCTGGGCACACATGTAGATGCTGCACC